CACTCCCGCGGGTGCTGGCAGGTGCTGTCTCGCTTCACCACGTGCCTGTAGGTGGACGCGGGGCCTAACACAAACTTAACCTCCCCCGGCTGCAGAAAGACCTGGGGATTGCGGTCTTCCAGGGAGCAGCTGTGGTTCCTATGGGGGAAAGGAGGGTGGACTTCAGGCAAGGAGTGCATACAGTGCCGGCCCCGCAGCTCCTGCTCACCACTGGTTGTGTTCACATAGGTGTGGGACTGCAAGGAGAGAAGCAGAGGGACAGTGACAGGAGAAGAGCCGGGAGCGCAGCAAGTGTCAGCAACTGATCAAACAACAGGGAAGGGACCCAGTTGGGTGCTTGATGGAGGAGGAAGGGAGCAAAACACTTGAGAACTTGAGAAGATTTGGGGAAGGGGAAAGTGGCTGGTGGGTTTATGGATTGAAGGAGGGACAAAAGAGAGCCCAACTGCAGAAATTCACATCATCTGTTTTGCGCTAGATACACAGATATGGGACAGAACAAAAAGCAAAGCCACTCGCAAAATATTTTACGAAAGAGTTTTAGTAAAACACTGCAGCTATTGCTGAATTCACACGTATCTAGGTTTTCCTGACAACATCTGGGACAGTAGGATTACGTATGGAAAATCTTAAAATTCTTAAACCAAGAAAATAGATCTGAACATCAAAAATAAAATGCAGAGTCAACTTGGGCATTATTCTGCATATCAATTTAAAAGTTGTAGCAAATCATACACAGGGCAACATGACTTGGACCTATATAGAAAATTAAGTGCTGCTGTTAAGCAATTGCCAAGGCAATACCAGTAGACTAAGGAAGCCAAGTCAGTCTATCTCAGTAGAGCATTTGTTCCAGTGAAGCATGAGAGAGCAGAAGCCTCTGAGACCAAAATGAAGCAAAAGAAACAACAGATGATGAGGTACAAGGATCCTCGAGCTTTGTTGGAGTAAGAGAAGCCTAGAATTGCACAGCACTGCTTGTTGCTCATTGCTTGCAATAACAGAATTCAGGAGATCCAGGTTTACCTGCTCATCAGGTCCAATGAGGGCATGGGTAGAGTCTTCACCAACAGAAGAATGTCTCAGGCTGCTCACGGAGGGGGGACGAGCTGTGGAGTAAGATAGGGTTTCTCCAGGGAAGCTGTGAAATCCATTGGGAAGCCCTGGGACAGTGTACCCTAGACCTGGGAGAGAAGTGAGGGAGATTAGAGCATTGATCTGAAACAAAACACAGAGCTGGCTGCATTTTCACAATGAGCTAGTCTATTAAATGCACCCTGGAAGGTGGAATCACCTGGGCTGAGGAGGACTTCTACCATGAGGTTCACAGCATACATACAAGGGCTGGACTCCCTTGTTTGATTTTTAGTCTCTCCTAATGAAGGTAGAAATTGAGTAAACCTGAATTCTTCCAGATGCGTTTTCCTTTCCTTTTAGGGCTTTTTTTTTTTCTTTGCCATTTCCTTGGATATCAAGTACAACACTGGGGCCTTAAAATAAACACACTGCATGGGACAGGCACGGATGCAAAGAGACAGGTCAGCTGCAAGCCAGGACTCAGGAGAACACCCATAGACTGGAAAGTGCAGCTTTCCCACAAGCAGCTATGGACCATGCTCACGTCTCTGCATTCCCCTCTCCTTCCCAGATCCCACAGAAGTCTTACTGTTGGATGCCTGGGGAGTCCGAGACAGCTCCCGCTCTGTGGGATGACTGTTCCTGGTGATGACAACAGGCTCTTCCACTACATTGATACTATTACATTGCATCAGGTCCTGGAGCAAATTAAAGATCTCCTCTGCTCTGGAACACTTAAACGCAAAAATTCCTGCACAGTAATGAAGAGGAGGGTCAGAAGAGCAAAAAAGCAAACCTACTTTAACAAGAATATAATTCTGGGCTATAAATAAACAAGCAGGATTGATATTAACATGTCTAACACAATCAACCCCTGCAACTCACAGTTGCAAGAGAACAGCTAGCAACTCAGTGGATTAATGAAAGATCAGGCATTTCTGTAAGTCATGAAAATGTTTATTCTTTCATTGGGTGGGATAAAAATTTGCTCGGAGGATGTAAATCCTCGTGCTTTAAATCATAAACTGAACAGATAGATGAGTAGGAAAAGAGCCTCCCTTTGCTTATGCAGTGACTTGGTAGAAAGTGTCTTCTTTAATCTTTCTTATGGAGATTGACCCTACAAGAGCAGAAGTGCAAAAGGAATAAGCTAACCAGTCTTGTTCCATCTCAAACCTTCTATTTAACTCACTTAGCACCCAGTCCAGTTCCCAGTGACCCACGGGAGCTGAATGGGGCCTTGTGGAGGGATGAGAGCACCACATTTCAAAACAAAATGGATCAGATTTAAGAGTTGCTAGCCAGGCTTGCAGCCCAAAGCAGAGCTGGGGCGTGCAGGGCTGGCCAGTCTCAGGCTGGCACACACACAGCGCACAGGAGCCGTAGCAACAGGCAGAGCATGGCAACAACAGCTCCTACCCCAAGACAAGGGTTTAAAACACTCTGCCCAAAATGTAGCTCTGTCTGCCTTATTTAAGACGGGGAGCTGCAGGAAGACAGAATTCTCCAAACAAAATTAACTGAGCAGAAAAGAATTCCTACATGGAAAGGAGGAAACTGATCAGGAATACAGCAGCATCCAATAGATTTTTGTCTGCATTAAGACTGATGAGTTAATATGTGTCTGCTAAAATATTCTCTAATATTTGAAGAGCAAACAGCTCTGCTTTGGCATCACTATCTGTATCTAAACAAAAGCAACAATAAAAAAGGCAGAATTCTAATTACTAACCTGCAAAGGCAAACCACACAACCAAAGATAAGCAATTCCCATTGCTGGCAACTGGTAAGCACACAATTCCAGGAGAGGAAAACCCTACTCACATAAATATTAAAAAGGAGCATACGGCATTACAGATTTGCACGGCACTTCACACAGACACTGAACAGTCATGTGCTGCCCTGGATGAGGAGGAGTTTACAAACACATTAACAGAATGAAGAACCACAAACTTCCCCCCCACTGGTCCCACATGCCATGAAAATGCTCAGTTTTGTTTTTTCTTTTTTTTTAAGCAAAGGAGACAAGACTGGTAAAGGAACTAACAGGCACCATAGTAAAACTGGAGTCTATTCCCAGCTCTGCTGATGACTTGGCATGTACTCCTGAGTGAGTCACTTCTCTATTCACAGCATCCCCATGCCTAAGATCTGTAAAACATAAAACTCCTTTGCCCTCCACGTTACAAATTGCTGCCAAACAGTAAATACAAAGCATTAAGTAAAACCAATACTAACTAAGGCAGAGATACAGTGAGAAATACTGCTACTGCTGTGTATGTGAAAACTCAGAAATTAGCAAATCCTAAGAGTGACTAAAACCAGTACTAACTAAGGCAGAGAGACACAGTGAGAAATACAAGAATGTGTTTAAACTACTACTGCTACTGCTGTGTATGTGAAAGCTCAGAAATTAGCAAATCCTAAGAGTGATCATCTAGAAAAGATGCAGATCCTGCCCTTCTGCTTTCTCCCTAGAGATGAAAGATGCTTAATAAAGCTTTAGTCTTGCAAAAGGCACTTTGCAGTTCCTAGGAGAACATCTCTGGCAAAGAGACATCTCTTCCATCACAGATGAACATGGTTAGCTCCAAAGCACAGAGCTGACAGTGAATTAACATCCTGTCCAGCACTAAATGTGTCCCATCCAGGTAAAACTTTAGCTCATGCCTGTTGTACCAGTTACCTTATGAGAGCTGATACTCTAGAGAAAGGAGACCACTAGACTTAGGCCTAGATCCTGAGCCTCAATATTGCTAGCTTTGGTATTTTAATTGTATTAACATTGTATAGTATTAACCTTATGCATAGGCAGATTCCAGTGTTCTGGGGAAAGACAGGCTGCAAGTGAACGTGTTGATTTGTTAGATGCAGGGATCTGGGAAGACATAGGTGCCAACTCACTCAAGCTTCCTGGGAGCAGAAGCTTCCAAGCTCCTTCCTCCAGGAAACACAACACTCACCCTGCCCTGTCTGGCAGCGACGTCCACTCTCAAAGGAGAAGAGGTTGGAATCGTAGCCGTAGCGGCGCAGGCAGAGGTAGGGCCACCTGACAGCATCCCGCTTGTGCGTGTGCAAGGTGAGCTCCGTCTGCGTCAGCTCCATGATCCCAGATCCCAGCTCGTTACCTTCATCGTCCACGTTCGTCACCTGAAGAGAAGACAGCGCTCACATCAGGAAAACCCATGCCTTTGTATCCCCAAAAGTGCTGCAGGTTTATGCCCACCCATGGAGATCCTGTAATTCCCACAGACTTCCCCTTCATTCACTAAGATGCATTTTTCCCATCGAGGGCATGAATTCATTGCTGGCAGGAGGCGCCGAGGCGGCAGCCTTGGAGACTGTGTGCTTGGCAGTTCAGCTGATGGCTCTCAACACAGACACTGGAAGACAGCCCTGAGCAATAGGAGATTTCTCTCCAGTTCTCTGTTTCCTTGCTGAGGAACAATCTGAGTGTAGAAGCAATATCTGAGACCTGTTTTTCAAGCAAAGTTTCTTAATTAAAAAAAAAAAAAAAGTAAATCTCATCATGTGAAAGAGCAGAGGTTTTCTCTTCATTCCTGCCTGGCACCCAACCCAGCCTGGACTTTCCTCACAGCTGCTGCTGTTACAGATTCCCCTCTGAGAATTAAAGTCTGACACGTACCTTAAATTTGGTGGGATGGTTGTCTGGGATGCTGTCCCTGCACAGACAACTGCAGCAGCTCCCCATGACGTCGGCATAAGAGGTAATCCCTGGTAGTGGATACAAAAAAGAGGACAATCATAATTCCAAACTATCTCCTCCATCCCCTCAGAACATAGGGCATTTACACCCTGTATCCCCCTTAATCATCCTGCACACAGCCTAGTGTGTTTGAACCTCAAATTTTCTTTGCTTTGAAAACTCTTCAGTGTGTTACTCAACTAACAGACATCATATAGTATTAAATAAATAATATGAGTAAGAATAACAGCTCCCAAGTGCTATTTTATTCACTCGCTCATTACTTTGCAATACAGTCTAAAATTCTCCATTTCACCCCCTACAAGAGGGCCATACCAGTGAACAGGGATAGCACAAACCTACCCAGAGCCCTCCTTGGGGATTGAATACAGCCTCTAACTTTTAATCTCACTTAGTTCTTACCATTAGGCAACTGTTTGTTCTTTTTGGAGGAGTGGGAGGAAATCCCGCCACTGTCTATATCCCTGGGGAATTCATGGTAACCGGCGCTTCAGTCACCTAGAGCACAAAGGCAACTGTCCCATCTTCTACCTGACAAGGAGAATACAATTAAACAGATAACAGAAAAAAAGACAGAGAATAATAATAGGAATTTGGGCCGGGCTGGCACTGAATTTTCCTCAAGTAACACACAGCAGGAAAGCGCACACTTTTTAAAAATTAGCTACCTGTGTTTAAATGAATACAGAAAATCGTTCTGCTGGGATTGCTCCTAAAATGCACAATGTCCGACACAGACACCCTGCACGCACACCTGCACTGCTCAAAGTTACCCTTCATTTTCTAGCAAATTGGCATCAAGGGCTCAGCACAGACACTCACAGGGCTTGAAACCATTTGCATCCCAATGGGCAAATTCTAGAGTATGCTCGGAAATATAACTTCTGAAAAACATGCAATCTACAGCTAAACAAAGGAAAAAACGTGAAAAGAAGAGGCATTTTACTTCTTAAAGCACCCTTCTCAACAGGACTGCAAAGTTATCAGAGCTACTGTAATACAAACAAAATACTGAACGCAGATGGCTGTAAGGATGTGAGGAATCACACACATCTGCTGCTTTGGAATGTGAAGAAATCCTCATTAAATGGAAGGTCCTTAGGGGTCAGAGAGCAAGCGGCCTTAAAAGCAAACGAACACAACAGCTGTTGTGCATTCAGCTGTGAAAAGGAACAAGGGCCAGAAACCAAAAAGATGCAAAACCAAAAAGATGCAGCCAGCTCATCTTTTAGAGAGCGCAATCTTTTTAGTGTGTGGAAGTTACAAATACTAGCAGAAAGAAAACCTGGTATCTTTGATGCACTCTTAAACTTTGCAATTCGAAGGCTAAGTGGCAGATAATACAACGGGCTGCCCTGCTTTATTTGGCAGGAATACCTAATGATCTCCCCCTGCAAGGCACAAGACAACACAGCCATACGGATCCGGCATCGCAACGGCGAGCGGAACGAGGAGGCTTTGGGAATCCTCGCGCTCCGGCACGCCGCGGGCTGCCTCACCGCACATGGAGCAGGGAATCAGGGAATCAAATGACCTCCCACGGCAACTTCCAAGCGCTGCCTTAGTGCCGACTCCCGGAGAACCTCGGGACGTAACGCTGCAAAACGCCCCCAAACCTGCAGGTCTGAGGACACTGTCCCAGGCCAGATGCCATGTGCTAGCTGCAGTAAAGTCACACACTCCCTGCTCAACAGGGCATCCTCTCCAAGTTTTCCTATTTGTTTTTCCAGACTCAACAGGGATTTACACACAGCTGACTTCACAGGCTTTGATCAATAATTTAGCAACAGATTCCTCTCTGCTTCATCTAATCCTGTCACCAGGGGCCTTGTTCTCCACAGTTTCTGCCCTCCCCTTCCCACCTTATCAACTCCCTTGGTTAAAAAATACTCTGCACAAAACACGTTACCTTTCCCCCTCTCACTTCATTACTCTGGCACTTCCTTCGCTGCTCAGCCCTGTGAAGGGTTTAGAAAGAAGTGCCGCAGACTGCCCGGAGTTGTTATTTTGGTCAGAAGTGCACAAATGAAGCCAAAAAGAAAGGATGCTGGGATCCCCGAGGATGTTGGGATCCCCAAGGACGCTGGGATCCCCGAGGATGTTGGGATCCCCAAGGACGCTGGGATCCCCGAGGAGCCCCTCGGCACTTCCAGCTGCTCCCCGCTCCTCAATCCCCTTTCCCGGAGCCCTGCCGTGCGCAGGAGCGTCGCGGGGCTCCCCGTGCCGACACCGGCGCTCGCAGCTTCCGAAAGCCCCAGCAGCGGCTCCGGGGGCTGCTCCGGACGCGAGGACGCGTGCCCAAAACCAGCAGCCCCGGCCCCCAAGCTGCCGCGGGCCCAACCTGAACCCTCCTGACGTCCTCGTGCCGCTCCGGAGCGGAGCTCCCTTCTCCCTTCATGGCCAGGACACTTGCTCTCCTTGCAGGAGACCCTGCCGTGCCCCGTGCTCGGGTATCCTGGAACCTAATGATGTAGTCTCCTTGCAGGAGACCCTGCCGTGCCCCGTGCTCGGGTATCCTGGAACCTAACGATGCAGAAAAGCAATGCAAAACACTCCGGGGTGAAAACCACACTGGCAACGTCACACGGAGACACTGGGCCTGCAACCACGTCCAGGTCCCCACGAGCGCCCTATGATGCCCAGTGTCACCAGCCCTGCTGCCCCCTCAGTGGCCACCGAGGCGGGGGGAGGAAGGAGGGGGCTGCCCCACAGCAGGGGGGCACCTCTGGGTGCCGTAAAGCAGGAGGGGGAGCAAGCGACAGGCCCCACAGACAGGCAGGGCCAGGGGGCAGCAGGACAGGGACAGGGGCTGGGGGGAGATGAGGGGCACGGAGCCGTGGGGACAGGGATACCAGGGAGCCATGAAGCAACGGGGGAAGGAACTGGGGCAAATACGGGACTGCAGGGGGGTGACTGGGG